AGAAGATGAAGAAAGGGGGGGAGGGGCCGCGGCTGGGGCATTAAAATGGATTTTATTGGGGGAGAGAAAAAATGGGAATTTGGGTTTTTTTTGGGGGGTTTTGATTTATTTTGGGGTGTTTTGAGGCGATTTTGGGGTGTTTTGATTTATTTTGAATGATTTTGGGGTGTTTTGAGGCGATTTTGGGGTGTTTTGATGTATTTTGAATGATTTTGGGGTGTTTTGAGGTGATTTTGGGGTGTTTTGAGATGATTTTGGGGTGTTTTGAGGTGATTTTGGAGTGTTTTGAGGTGATTTTGGGGTGTTTTGAGGTGATTTTGGGGTGATTTGGGGCGGTTTTGGGGTGTTTTGAGGTGATTTTGGGGTGATTTGGGGCGGTTTTGGGGCTCCTCAGGCGCTCTTGAGGAAGGGCTGGTGCAGAACGTCGAAAAGGCGCTTGGCCTGGTGCGAGGGGAGGGGACACGGAGGTGACAAAGAGGCCACCAGGGTGTCCCCAGTGATGTCCCCAAGGTCCCTGTCATGTCCCCAGTGATGTCAGTGGTGTCCCCAATGCCCCCAAAGTCCCAAATGGTGTCCCCAATGTCCCCTGTGATGTCCCCAAGGTCCCCAGTAATGTCCCCCATGGTGTCCCCCATGGTGTCCCCAAGTCCCTCTGTCCCTCACCTTTTGGGGTCCCACGCCGGGGCACAGGGACAGATCCTGGGGGGACGCGGCCGCCACGGCTGCCAGAGACTGAGGGGACAGCAGGGGACACTTTGGGGACAGTTGGGGACAGGTTGGGGACAGCAGGGGACACTTTGGGGACAGTTGGGGACAGGTTGGGGACGGTTGGGGACAGGTTGGGGACAGTTGGGGACACTTTGGGGACAGCCCCGCTCACCCCGAAGGTGCCCAGCAGGGCCAGGGCGTCGCTCTTGTTGACGGATCTGACGCTGGTCAGGCAGTCGGACACCTGGGGACAGCAGGGGACCGGGAGGGGACATGAGGGGACACACCTGGGGACAGCTGGGACACACCTGGGGACAGCAGGGACACACCTGGGGACAGCAGGGACATGAGGGGACACCTTGGGGACACCTGGGACACACCTGGGGACAGCTGGGGACATGAGGGGACACCTGGGGACACACCTGGGACACCCCTGGGGACAGCTGGGGACATGAGGGGACACCTTGGGGACGGACACCTGGGGACAGCTGGAGGGACATGGGGACACCTGGGACACTTTTTGGGACATTTGGGGACATTTGGGGCCTGACCCGGGACAGGAAGTCGGGCTCCACGCGCTCCCGGAGGACCCTGGGGACACTTTTGGGTACAATTAGGGACATTTTGAGGATATTTGGGTACATTTGGGGACATTTGGGGACATTTGGGGACATTTGGGGACATTTGGGGACACTTGGGGACATTTGGGGCCTGACCCGGGACAGGAAGTCGGGCTCCACGCGCTCCCGGAGGAGGTCGGGCGGTTTCTGCTCGTAGCACTTGAAGGTCTCCAGGTAGCGACCGCTCTCCTCCGCACTGGGGACATTTGGGGACATTTGGGGACGTTTTGGGTCATTTGGGGACGTTTTGGGTCATTTGGGGACACTTGGGGACATTGGGGACAATTTGGGGACACTTGGGGACGTTTTGGGACATTTGGGGACGTTTTGGGTCATTTGGGGACACTTGGGGACATTGGGGACATTGGGGACAATTTGGGGACATTTGGGGGAAATTTGGGACATTTTCGGGGAGATTTGGGGCCATTTTTGGGGTATTTTGGGCAGTTTCAGGACAGTTTTGGGGCCATTTTTTGGGCCAATTTTGGGGCAGTTTTGGGGCCATTTTTTGGCAGTTTTTGGGGCCATTTTTGGGCCATTTTGGGGCAGTTTTGGGCCGTTTTGGGGCAGTTTTGGCACCTCCAGGCCAGCAGCAAGGTGCAGTCGCTGAGGAGACAAATCCGGGCCAGGTCCTGCAGAGCCTGGAGGGGATCCCGCTGAAACAGGTGAGAGGGGACAGGTGAGAGGGGACAGGTGAGAGGGGACAGGTGAGAGGGGACAGGTGAGACAGGTGAGAGGGGACAGGTGAGACAGGTGAGAGGGGACAGGTGAGACAGGGACAGGTGAGAGGGGACAGGGACAGGTGAGAGGAGACAGGTGAGGGACAGGGACAGACGGACACGGTGGCAATGCCAAGGTGACAGTGCCAAGGTGACAAAGGTGACAGTGCCAGCTCACCACGTCCACCTGCAGCAGCAGCACCTGGAGGCCGAAGCTCCGCCCCAGAGCCCGGAGCCGCTCGTGGATGTACTCGGGGTGCAGCTGGTGGTACCTGAGACTCGGACAGGAGCACACCTGGGGACAGCTGGGGACAGCTGGCACACCTGGGGACACATCTGGGACAGCTGGGAACACCTGGAACAGCTGGGGACACCCTGGGAACACACCTGGGACACCTGGGGACAGCTGGGAAAACTTGGGGACACCTGGAACCCAGTCCAGAACACTCTAGAACCCAGTCTAGAACCGAGTCTAGAACCCGATCTAGAACCGCTCTAGAACCGAGTCTAGAACCTCTAGAACCTGATCTAGAACTGAGTCTAGAACCTCTAGAACCCGATCTAGAACCGAGTCTAGAACCTCTAGAACCGAGTCTGGAACCCAGTCTAGAACCCAGTCTAGAACCCTGGGGACACCTGGGGACACCTGGAACCCACCTGGACACACCTGGGGACACCTGGAGCACACCTGGGGACACCTGGAACACACCTGGGGACACCTGGAACACACCTGGGGACACCTGGAACACACCTGGACACACCTGGGGACACCTGGAACACACCTGGACACACCTGGGCTCACCTGGAACACACCTGGACACACCTGGACACACCTGGGGACACCTGGGGACACCTGGAACACACCTGGGGACACCTGGGGACACCTGGAACACA